GATCACACACTTTGGAGGTCTCCAGAGGCAGTCAGGGAGGATCTGTTGTGCCCAGATTTTGTGATCCCCAGAAATCACCAGGAGTCTGAAGTCAATCCAAGTGCACAAGGATGGTTTATTCAAGCTCAGCACATCCAAACCTGGGCTCTTGGTTGAGAGCAGACAGCTGATTGACCGGCCAGGCGGCAACCAGGACCAACACCCCATACCAGAGTGTGGCCCCGAACTGCACATTCATGGGGTTTTTGTAGGGGCAGTCTACAATAGCTTGAGAAGGGAAATTCACAACAGCCTGCAAGGTGTGGGGGAGGGGGTGGAAAGCACATATTCCCTACCTATCTTGGCTGCACAGCTCATGCCTCCAGCAACTAAGGTAAGCACCCACCTAATTACCTGGAGCCACCTGTGAGATAACCAGACTTAGGTAGGCCTTGATTCATAAGAACTGGGATCCATCAGTGTTAAAGGTCACATAAGCCATTTAGTCTGCAAGCTCACACAGTTTCTTTCTTTCTTAAGATTTATTTTATTTTTATTGCAAAGTCAGATATACAGAGAGGAGGAGAGACAGAGAGGAAGATCTTCCGTCCAATGAGTCACTCCCCAAGTGACCGCAACAGCTGGTGCTGCACTGATCCCAAGCCAGGAGTCAGGAACCTCCTCCAGGTCTTCCACGAGGGTGCAGGAACCTGAGGCTTTGGCCTGTTCTCGACTGCTTTCCCAGGCCACAAGCAGGGAGCTGGATGGGAAACAGGGCCACTGGGATTAGAACTTGCTCCCATATGGGATCCCGGTGCATTCAAGCAGAGAGCTGTAGCCGCTAGGCCACAGCACCAGGCCCGCTCACGCAGTTTCTTAGTAGCAATGAGCCATGAACAAATGGTTGGGATTTTGATGCTGAGGTTCTTCAGATCAGAGTGTACCACAGAGCCCCTGTTGATTTACTCTATTTTTCAGATTTACTTATTTGCTGGGCAGTTACAGAAAGAGAGAGACAAAGAGAGGTCTTCCAACTGCTTGTTCACTCCCCAGATAGCAGCAACAGAAAGCTGAGCTGATCCAAAGCCAGGTTCTTGGAGCTTCTTCATGATCTCTCCCATGGGTGCCGTGGCCCAACAGCTTGAATCACTTATCATCGCTTTCCCAGGTGCATTAGCAGGCAGCTGGACTGGAAGTAGAACAGCCAGGACTCTAACCATTACCCAGATGGGAATCTGGCACTATAAGCTACAGCTTAATTTGCTTTACTACGGTGCTGGTCCTGGACTCGGTCTTGAGTTCCAGTTTCTGATTATGTTTGGCCAGGCCTGTCCAAACTAATATCTCTGATTTCTCCTACCTTTCAACTTGGAATCACTAATAACAAAAATGGCCCTTCGCACTGCCAGTTTGTGTCCCAACTGCTCCACTTTCCATCCAGCTTCCTGCTTGTGGCCTGGGAAAACAGTAGAGGACGGCCCAAAGCCTTGGGACCTGCACCCACATGGGAGACCCAGAAGTAGTTCCTGGCTTCAGATCAGCTCAGCTCTGGCAATTGTGGCCATTTGGAAGTAAACCAACAAATGGTATATTTCTCTCTATATGTCTCTCCCTCTCTCTGTAAATCTGCCTTTCAACAATTAAAAACATAAGAATAAATCTTAAAACGGGCCTTTCCTGAAGGCCCCAAAGGCCCGCGGCACAGTCCGACATCACAGCTCATATATGAGCACTCTGCCTGTTGCCATGTGGTCCATCCAACCTCCTCTGAGACATCAGATTATAAAAGGTGCTTTGAATCCAACATCCAAAAATCAACTGGCTGCCCTCCAGACTCTGCTTAATGGTCTGCTCCAACCATTAACATTTGTTTTTCTTCTGTCTCCACTCCTGAATGGGTTATGGGACAAGCTCCCAAGCCAGCTTCTGGAGCATAAAACTTCCAGGAGAAGTTACGGAGCAGGAGTGCTAGGGCTCAGGACACCCCAAGATATCCCTCTTTGGCATGTTGATTACTTCCAGCTAGTTAGTCTGAGAGGCTGTAGAGATTGGCCCAAAGGACATTCTCCTGAATGAATGTATCTGCATTGGAAGAAAGCTGTTCTAGGTCCCCCAGTCTCCATCCATCATTCCAGACACATTTACTCATCACACGTGGCATAATCCCCCAAAGGCAGAGAGATTTCTATCCACTGGTTCACTCCCCAAATGGCTGCAAAAGCCTGAGCTGAACTGATCTAAAGCCAGAAGCCAGGAGCTGCTTCCAAGTCTCCCACATGACTGCAGGATCCTAAGGCTTTGAGACATCCTCTATTGCTCTCCCAGGCCACAAGCAGGGAGCTGAAAGAGAAGTGGAGCAGCCATGACACAAACTGGCATCTATATGGGATCCCAAGTGTGCAAGATGAGGATTTATTTATCCACTAAGCCATCGCACCAGACCCTTCAATAATTTGTTTTTCAACAATTACTTGGAGGAACAGAGCGCTAGACACATAGAGACGCTTCTTTCCCAAATGCTCACAGCAGCAGAGGCTAGGCCCAGCTGGGATCCAGCAGCCCAATGCTCATATATGATGATGAGGGTGGCAGGAACACAAGGACTTGGCCATCAACATTTTTTGCCCTCCAGGGTGTGCATTAGCAAGAGGCTGGAATCACGAGGGGGATTGTGACTTGAATCCTGGAGCTTGAATGTGGGATGCATGGCATCTTACCCATTACACCAAACACCTGCCCCAGGACACATTTTTTTTTAACCAGAAGAATGAGATGTTCAAAAAAATAAAAATAAAACTTAAGCTTGGGCAGGTATTGTGGTGTACTAGGTGAAGCTGCCAGCTGCAGTGCGACACTTCATACCGGTGCCAGTTCAAATCCCAGCTGTTCTGTTTCTAATACCAGCTCTCAGCTAACATGGTGGGGAAAGATCAGAGACTGGGCCGTGGTCTTGGGTCCCTGCATGCATGCTGTTGCAGCCATTTAGGGAATGAATCAGTAGGTGGGAAATAACTATCCCCAACTTTGCCTTTCAAATAAAGTAAATCTTTAAAATAAATAAATAAGGGCCTGGCACATTGGCTCAATTGGTTGAATCCTCTGTCTGCCAGCACCAGCATCCCACATGGGTTGGGATGCCATGGCCCAACTGCTCCACTTCCTATGCAGTTCCCTGTTTGTGGCCTGGGAAAGCAGTGGAGGATGGCCCAAAGCCTTGGAACCCTGTACCTGTAGGCAAGACCCAGAGGAGGCTTCTGGCTCCTGTTTTGGGATGACTCAGCTCTGACTGTTGCAGCTATTTAGGGAATGAACCATTGGATGGAAGATCTTTCCTTCTGTCTCTGTAAATATGTCTTTCCAATATCTTTACTAAATAAATAAAAGTCAGGCTTATAACTCTCCTGCCCAAGATATATGTAGCCATCTTGTGGATATTGAAGAACCTCAGTATCAAAATCCCAACCATTTGTTCATGGCTCATTGCTACTAAGAAACTATGAGCTTGCAGGCCAAATGGCCTATGTGACCTCTAGTCACCTATGTGACCTTTAACACTGATGGATCCCAATTCTTATGAATCAAGACCCATCTAAGTCTGGTTATCTCACAGGTGGCTCCAAGTAATTAAGTAGGTACTTAACCTTAGTTGCTGGAGGCATGAGCTGTGCAGCCAAGATAGGTAGGGAATGTGTGCTTCCCCCTCCCCCACACACCTTGCAGGCTATTGTGAATTTCCCTCTCAAGCTATTGTAGACTGTCCCTACAAAAACCCCATGAATGTGCAGTTCGGGGCCACACTCTGGTATGGGGTGTTGGTCCTGGCTGCCGCCTGGCCGGTCAATCAGCTGTCTGCTCTCAACCAAGAGCCCAGGTTTGGATGTGCTGAGCTTGAATAAACCATCCTTGTGCACTTGGATTGACTTCAGACTCCTGGTGATTTCTGGGGATCACAAAATCTGGGCACAACAGTATGTCTCATAGAAACTCATTTAATTTTAAAGTGCACTGGAGAGTGGGGATGGAAGTCACTCAGTTCTGTCCAACTGTGGCCGGCTATGAGCTAGTTTGTGCCTGTTCTCCTCTGCCACGTGTACCCACCTAGGATTCCCAGCTCCTTGCTGATGTCACTCGGAGCACACCTGGACTGTGGCCTGGCTGTTCTGAGGTCTGGGTAAACAGGGTCTTCTCCAATTCCCATTTCAGTTCTTGACAGGGACCTGGAGCCCATAAGAGTCCACAGGCTCCAAGCCGTACAGTGAGAAAGCGCAGCCTGGAATCCAGCTCTGAGGTCCAGACCCAGCCAGGGGAATTCCTGCATGGGCTCCCTCCTCCCCCACGACAGGTGGTCCAGTCAGCCCCTCCCTTCATACCAGGTGCCAGGGGACAGCTGTCTCTTCCCTGCACCTCCCCCTTGGGGCAAGCTGAGCTGGGTGGGGCAACAGTGCTGCTTCCAGTGAGGCTGCCTCCACTGCAGGCAAATTCAGCCCAGGAGTGTCTGAGCAGCAAGTCGTTCTGACTGGTGAGAGCTGCCACTGATCAGTGAGCACAGGGGACTAGGAGGGAGGGGGCCATCGGTTCGGGGTGGGTCAGGAATCCCCAAAAGAAAAACTAGAGGTGCGGGGGGAGGGGGGAAGGACCATAGGATTGGGCAAGAAGGGGAAAATGAGGGGGATGAGGACATGCAAAAGCAGGGGGTGATTAGAGAAAAGCAAAGGTGTGGGGGAGGGGCTAGAAGGAGCCCTGGGAGGCCAAGTCCGGCATGGCAGGATGTGCGCTATGGGTCCCAGCTCCAGCGGGGTTACTGCCTTGGCACCATCACCTCTACCTGAGCTATGATGAGAATTCTCCCGGCCAAAGTATCTCCCCAAGAGAAAGAGCTCCTGCAAAGCAGAAAAACAATCCCAGAAGCAAGGTCTGGGGAGCTCCAGAGAATGTGAGGCAAAGGGCAGGGGAACTTGTGGTCACCCCATGTCTTCACAGATCAAGGCAAGAGCCAGAAGTCCAAGTCCACTGAATCTGCCATGCCAGCTCCTCTGCTTCCGCTACTGCTGCGAACACTGCTGTCCCGCCTGCTGCTGCCTGCTGCCCGTCTGGCCCGCCAGTACCTCCTGCCCCTGCTGCGCCGACTGGCTCAACGCCTGGGCTCCCAGGGCACACGCGAGGCTTTGCTGGGCTGCCTGCTGTTTGTCCTCAGCCAGCGACAGCCGCCAGAAGCCAGCGGGGAGGCCTCCCGAGTGGCTGACCGATCAGAGAGGAGGAATGAATTAGGCCACCAAAAGTGAGGGGCTGTGAGTCTTGTGGCAGCAGGTGTATTCCTCAAAAAGTTTTCTTTTAGATTAAGAGAGTCGTGGCACCAGCACTGATTGTAGCCTGTCTAGAGGGCAGAAGAGACAGAATTACATGAAGAAGGGATCTGCCTTAGACATGCCCCTAGCTTCCATAAGTATCTCTGGGGACCAGCATTGAGGCCTGGCAGAGAAGCTGCTAGCTGCAACACCTCACAGCTTCTCATATCGGTGCTGCTCCAGTTCTGATCCAGCTCCCTGCAAATGACCCAGGAAAGCAGTGGTGGACAGCCCAACCTTGGGCTCCTGCATCCATGAGAGAACCCAGAAGTTACTGGCTTCAGCCTGGCTGTTGCCCTCTTTGTGTAACTCAAATAAATAAAACTCTTTATGTAAAAATAAAATGTCCGGGAGGAGCAGTGGTTTCCAGGCAAATGGTGGGGGAGGGGAAGCATCAAGGTGACATTCAGCTAAGAAACGAGATCTGAACCCAGACTGACCTGACAACAGCAAGAACTTGGCTGCCCAGTGTACAGCAGGTCCTCAAGAAATCGCGGTTGCTGTCGGGCAACACTTTAATCTGGGGCCAGGTAGATGGGGTTAGAGGTAGCAGATGGGGGAAGACTTGGGTAAGGCTTCCCGTTACCGTCTGTGGCTGGGTCCATCTCGGTGGGTGCTCGCAGCCTGGAACCAACCTCACTTGGCAGGTGCACTGGTGACCAAGGCATAAGACTGATTGTCATTCATAGTTGCCAGGAAAGTCCTGGGCAGCCTTGGCAACCAGGAGTGGTGGGGTTAGGGAAATTTACTTGTTCAGGGGCCCAGTGGGCCCGCGGTCAAGGCAGACGCCCTCTAGGGTCGCCCCACTCGTGGGAGAGATGGGATGGGGACTGACCTCTGCACTTTCCCCTTTCTGGCGGGGCGGTCCTTGAAGCTCACGCAAGAGTCGTTATAATTGATCCACGTGCCCAGGACGTTTGCTTGCTCCCAGTGCTGAGCAAGTCCCGGGGTTCAGGATCCTAGGGTTAGGAAGTCAGGCCCCTGTCGCGGTTCGCAGTGGGTCACAAGCCTGGACCTGGGAGAAGTGAGACTTCAGCGGCGACTCCTCCCCGCACCCCAGCCCCGCCCACACCATCTGCTTCCTGCCGGGTCCGCAAAGCCGGAGCACGTGCATCCCTCTCTCAAAGGCCACCTGCAGTAAAGGGGTCCGAGCCTCCTCTCCCTCACCCCGCGTGCCCGCGCAGACCCAGGCGGACCTCAGTTCTCTCCGGCTCCACGGAACGCTACACGCCCCCGAGCGGCGAGCGGCGGGCCCGGGGCGCGCGCGCCACGACCGCGGGTTGCAGTCTCCCGGCCGGCGGCAAAGACGCATCAGACCTGGTGCTGGCGACAGCGCTTTCCCGCCATGGCCACGGGCAGAGCCCCGAGATGAGGCGGCCGAAAGAGGGGCAGCACCGGGAGTCTGCCTGGAAATTTCCGCCCTCTCCCCCACCCCCTCCCAACACGTCCTCAAGTCCGGACGCCCCCTCTTGAGTCTCAGCAGGTGCGCGGAGGAGGGCCCGGCCGGGCGGGGTTGCACGGGCTTGATAGGAGGACTTCCTGTGGGTCTGAGAAGTAGCGGTCTGCGATTTCTGGAGAAAGGGATACATTTGGGGGACAGCGAAGACCCCAGTCGGCTCCTTCTCCTCCCAGCGCTTAGATGCCCGGAGGCCGGAGCACAGGGCCTGACATGATGAACCCTGATGAGTTAGCCACCCTGTGTGCACACCTGCCTCTATTTATAGCTTTGCTGCCTTATCCAGCTTTGTTTTCTAAACATTGCATTTAACAGGATCTTGATTTCCTCTGTGTTTGGGGACCCCCTTTTTAACTTTGGCACTTCCAGGTCAACGGTTCACTGGCCTCACCTTGCCCCCAGCCTTACGACCCAAGGCCATGGAGATAACATCACATACTCAGCTGAGAACGTGTTTGTGTGTGTGTGTGTGTGTGCACTTGCGCTGGCGCTACTGACTCTGTACCAACTGGAGCAAAACATACCTGCAGGACCCGGGAAAGATAAGGAGACTGTGTGCTAAGGGTGGAAAGGCCGTGTTTGGGGCTTGCAAGGGGGACCAGTTTGCAGGTGAACCAGCTGGTTCCTAACACTCCCCTCCATCCTGTGCTCAGGAGCTGAAGCTGAGGAGGTGGAGAGAACTCTTCACCCTCAGTGAAGAGGGCTGCCCAGCTGGACATAAGGCAGGCCTGTTTGTGCTGGGACTTCCTGTACTGTCCAGCAGAGGGCCCAGACACCCAGCAGCCGACGCTGCCTGGGGAGGTGTATCCACAGCGGTGTGGGTGCTGGCTGGGGGCCCAGGTGTGGTGTGTGTGCCAGATGGGCTCTTTGCCAACAACAACAGCCCTAGCTATTACCATCTGCCTGGCAGGCCAGGCCCCAAGGGGGTAGCAAACGGATGCCACACCCCCCACTGGCCAGCAGTGCTGACCACTTCCCTCCAATTTCCTTCTACTTCTGGCCCCCTCTGCACATAACTGCAGCCAGTGCCGGAGGTGCTGGGCATGCTTAGCCAAGGGCTCTCTGACCACCAAGCCTGCCACCCCCTCATGCCAGGGCAGGGAGAGGAAGGTGGGAGGGAGACATGTCGGGGGAGGTGTGGTGCCCAGGGGAGCAGGAGACCCGGCTGAGAGAGGAAGAGAGAGAGACTGGACAAATACGGGGGTGGGCTGTACAGACATGAAGCCACCGTGAGCCACGGGGCAGTGCTTGGAAAAACAGCATGCTAGCCCTCCTTCCTGACCTCTGTTTGCTTAGGGCCGGGACTGGGAGCTGGAGTATGGATGGAGATGTGTGTCATTTCCGTGGGACAACCAGCCTTAGGGTTGGGGGTGACCTGTTTCCTCTGGTGCGGCCTGGAAGGGGTACCCATTTATGCTCTGCTCTGTTTCTCTCTGGGCCCATTCTTGCCCCAGTGGGCTGGGGCGGGTATCTGTCTGTGCATCAGCCCTATGATGTTATTACAGACGGCTAATTGTTAATTAGCGTCTGTGGCTTCTCCCAGGGACAGGCCCCTAGGGTGGCTAGGGGTGGCCTGCATTGGATCTGCTGCCCTCATCCCCTCTCCAGCTGCTGGACTGAGTGCAAGTGTGGGGGCTGCAAATGACACCCCCCCATCCCAACCCCAGTTACACAGAGGCAATCACTGCCCAGTGAAAGAGGAGGGGGTCTTCATGCCTTCTTGAGGGGGTGCCCAGGGACCACCAGCGACCACTGACCATCCCTCCCTGTCCAGATGGGAGCCAGGGAATATGTATCTCCCAGGGTGGCTTCCAGTTAGACCCTAACTAATGGGACAGTGGGATTCGCTCAGGACAGAAGGCTGTGCCTGGCTTTCTCTCTTCTCCTTCCCCAACCGTGTCTCAGTTTCCCCAAGTGGTGCATTTAGAAAGGGCAAATCCTGACGGGATTACCTCTGCTACTCCACCCTCCTTCCTCCCCTTTCTTCAGCATGTCTCAGCATCTCCTGCATCAGAGACAACGCAGTGGGCTTTGTTGTGTTGGTGGTTCCGGCTCAGGTCTGCCCCAGCAACCACGGGAGTGGGAAAACTTAGAGCAAGTCCCTCCCTCCTCTTGGGGGGATGGAGGAGTCTGGAACACCAATGGTGGCCTAGAGGAGGCTGCCGTGAGAAGTGAAGGGGGCCACTGGAGGCCACATTTGAGGTGAAGAGCTGTCGTGAATGACGTGAGCGACTGGGCCCCTTTGAGCTCACGGTCTGTGAGGTGGAAGAGACCCGAGGTGGAATCTGTGGGGAGGGGGCTAGACCCCACCCCACCCCACCTCCCGCCCAGGGGAACCTAGTGCGGGGCTGCACCCTCCGACCCCCCTGTGCCCCTGTGTTGGCCAGGGCAGGACCCAAAGAGGTCCCATCCACAGAAAAAGAGCCGGCGGCACGGCGCTGGTCCCGGGTGGGGGCGGCGGGCGGCCCGGGGCGGGGCGGGCGGCAGGAGGCGGGGGCCGGGAGGCCGGGGCGGGCCCAGCGCAGGCGGGTTTCAAAGTGCTTGGGCGGGCGCGGGAAGCCGCTCAGAGAGCACGCGGACCCCAACGCCGGAGGGCTGCTTCTCCGCCAGGTACTCCCGAGGGCCCCAGGGTGTAGGGTGCTGGGGACTGCCCAGGGGCGCACGGCGCCGCTTCCCGCCTGCCACGAGGACAGGGAGGCCGGGCCTGACAGCTCCGCGCCGCCCGAGGACGGGGACGCCGGGCGGGGGCTCCCCTCTTCCCGGTGCAGAGTCGCGCGCAGCACGTGGCGCCCGCGGGCCGGGGAAGGGAGAACCCTAGGGGGACCCGGGCTCACCACCCATGGGTGGCCTGGCTCCCGGGGCCCCAAGCCGTCTGTTGCTACGCTGACCTCCGCCAGGGGCCGGCGAGTGGACGGTTAATCCCGATCGATTTTGTTGTTGGTCCAGGGGAGGGGCCACGCCGCCAACTGCGATGGAGGGGGTGGGGATGCCGGAGAGAGACTTGGGGCTATGGGAGCCGTCCCTTTACCCCGTCCTTTTTACCAGGCCAACTCTTGTCTGTGGTCCTTTCTTCCTGGGCGCGTCCTTATTTACTCTTACCGAGTAAATGTGTGAAAGGACAAGGACACCCCCTCCCACCACCAAGAGGATTTCTTCCCTAGGGAGAACAATGATGGGAATGAAGGCAGTCCTTTCCCCTGTCCATAACTTAATTTGGGGCCTCTCCCAACCGTCCTGACCACTCTCTTTGCCCAGTAATAACCCCCAGCCCCTGCCAGGGTGTGTGTGTGTGTGTGTTTGCGTGTGTGTGTGTTTGCGTGTGTGTGTGTGTTTGCGTGTGTGTGTGTGTGGAGAGAGAGAGAGAGAATGTGGTTGGTTCTAGGATGCCTTCCATCTGAGCTAACACTGAACTTGGCCTCAACCTTATTTTTTTTCCCTTGAGCTGAGGCCGAGTGCCTCCTTCGGAAGGGCTGGGAAGCAGCCTTCAACAACCCTCCCTACCCTGACCAAGAACCTAGATTAAGCTGTCTCTTTGAGATTGAAACTCGGCACCTGCACTCTCAATTTCTTGATAGAACCTCAGCTGGCCCCATGTGCAGAGTGGGAAGGATCTAGTCCTTGTGGTTGTAAGCAAGAGGGGGAGCCTACAGACAGTGAATGACCCCGTGTGGGATGGGGGGTGAGTCCCCCGTGTGATACTCACCCCAGTGTGTGTTTAGAGAGAAGAAAGCGAGAGTAGGGCTCCAGAGCCTAGGGTCAGGAAAGTGCTCCTGTGGCTGGCTGCTTCAAGGGCTGCACTGTGCAGGCCAAGGCATGGCTGGAGAGACACCAGATGCCCCAGGCTGTCAGATCCCTGGTGGCTGCTGGCCAGAGGCAGAACAGAAACAAGAACGTCAAGTTTGGCTTGCTGAATGTCGGGATGAGGCAGCAGGTGGTGGTGGTAAGGTGTTGTCGGTGGATGCAGGAGTGGGGGCTGCTAAGGATGGCTGGAGTGGGGATGGAGCTAAGTGGAGGCAGGAATATACCATCTCTGTGTTCCCAAGGGAATGGGATGCTGTGGTCCCTACCCCATTGTCTGGTTTGAGGCTGCACCTGCTTGGGACTGCCTGAAACTTTGCATGTGAGAGGTGCAGGGTGGAGCAGAGCGTGTCCTGAGAGGAGAGCTTGGCAGGGGTGAGGGTGCCAACCTATGTTCTCATTCCTCTAGGAAACGGCAGTGCTCTTGTTCATGAGTCTGGCTCTTTTTAAAGATTTATTTATTTTATTGGAAAGGCAGATGTACAGAGAGATGGAGAGACAGAGAGGAAGATCTTCCGTCCGATGATTCACTCCCCAAGTGAGCGCAACAACCGATACTATGCCGATACGAAGCCAGGAGCCTCTTCCGGGTCTCCCACGCAGGTGCAGGGTCCCAAAGCTTTGGGCCGTCCTCGACTGCTTTCCCGGGCCACCGGCAGGGAGCTGGAAGGGAAGCGGGGCTGCCGGGATTAGAACCGGCGCCCATATGGGATCCCGGGCGTGCAAGGCATGGACCTTAACTACTTGCGCTACCGCACCGGGCCCCCTCCCTGGCATTTTTAATGACACTTTGTGCACAAGGATTTTAAAATGTGTAGCAGAGGGCCCAGCATGATAGTGCAATGGTTAAGGTTCTCGCCTTGAACATCCGGGATGCCATATGGGCGCACGTTCTAATCCCGGCAGCTCCACTTCCCATCCAGCTCCCTGCTTGTAGACTGGGAAAGCAATCAAGGACAGCCCAAAGTCTTGGATCCCTGAATCCGTGTGGGAAACCCGGACGGAAGTTCCTGGCTCCTGGCTCCGGATCGGCACAGCACTGGCCGTTGCAGTCACTTGGGGAGTGACTCATCGGACGGAAGATCTTTCTCTGTCTCTGCTCCTCTCTGTACGTCTGCCTTTCCAATAAAATAATTTTATGTTTGCATTTTACTGGAAGAGCTGAAAGAGATTTTCCATCTGCTGATTCACTCCCCAAATGCCCATAAGTGGTTCCAATCAGGAGCCTGGAACTCGGTTCAGGTCTCCCACATGGGTAGCAGGGTCCTTGGACCGGTTACCTTCCTGGGTGCACCTTGGCAGGAAGCTGGATGAAAGGGAAGGCTCTGGGGCTTAAACCCAGCACTCTGATATGGGATGTCAGCATAATGAACCGTGTGGGCTTAACCACTGCGCCAAATTCCCATCAGCTGGTCCACTCCACAGTTGGCTACAACCATTGTGGCTGGGCCAGGTTAGACCTGGAGCCAGGAACTCCATCTGAATCATTCCCCTGCAATTCAGATGTGGACTAAGGTTCTGAGAAGCCCTTTGATGAGGCTGGACTTTGCCCCTCGGGAGGGTGGGGAAGCCCCCTGAGAGTTCCTCCAGACCAGCGGATGTGCGCATTTGGTTTGACTCAGCTGGGAGCATTACACCTGCTAGGCGGCCTGCCCCTGCCCCCTGCTCTCTTATCTCCTTAGCAGCAGGGTGGCTGGATATCTCCCTGGAGGCTTCTGAGAATGGGGCCTGGCAAACCACCGGCTGCTCTCCCGATAAGCTCAGTGCCACCATTCTCATTCTAGACCCTCACCCAGGAACCTGTGGACAAGTTCTGTCACCTGTGCCAGGGCTGGGACTGCCTCCTAGGAACTGCCCAGGCCCCATCTGCCTCCGCCCTTTTGCTGACCAGTCTGAGCACCTGGTGAGTACCAGGTGGAAAATATTCTGGCTGGTGGGCCTAGTCCCTTTAGGCCTCGGTGTGGGGAGGGAGGCGGGGTGGAGAGGGCGGCTGTGCCTGTGGGTGATTGCCTGCTGCCCAGGCCAGCTGATGCTACAAGCATCCTCCTCCACAAGGGGCCAATAAGGGCAGCACTTCACAGATGACCTGGCATCTTGGGAACTGCGCCTTCCCAGGCCTCTGTGCACTGTCCCTGCTTTCCCCGGCCCCCATCTTCCCTTCCAGGCTACTCTCAGAAAGGGGAAGAGGATAGGGACCTGAGTCTAAGTTAGAGAGGAACTGAGGGGGGATGGGGTGACCCTAGGGTCAGGACTGGGGGTCGAGGGTGAAGGTGGGGGTGGGGGACCAAGCCATGTTGTGGGAAGGACTGTATTGTGTCCCAGTTCCCATTGTGAAATCTTTTCTTGGGAAACTGTCCAAGATCTAGAAAGTCCCTGGACAGTAGCTGGAAAGAAAAGGTTGAGGTGTCACCAACAGAGGCTGGGAGGGTCTGGGGAGCCACCATGAGGAGACAGGCTTCTTGGCACTTACCCTTGCCAGGAAGGCAGGGGGTGGGGGGCTCCGGCTGGCAGAGGGAGGTGCCTTTGACTCCCCCTGCCCCCCGCCCCTCCTCCTGTCCTTCCTTCCATTGTCCCCATGCTCCCTGACCCTCTCCCGTCTTCCCTTGCCTTCTCTGGCTGTCTCTCCCTCCCTTTCCACCGAGCTTCCTCCTCCTTCCCTCCACTCTCCACCCTCCTGTTCCCCAGCTTCTAAACTGCTTCGGCTGCTGGATAAAAATAGCGGTGGCAGCGGCCAGGCGGGGAGCCAGGTAGAGCCTGAGCTGGCAGGGGGCCCCCACCCAGGACAGGACTGGGCTGCTGGGTCAGGGGGCCTGGTCGGGGGGAGGGGAGAAGTCCTGAGGGCCAGGGACCCTGGGGACTTTTAGGCTTGTGGGCTCCGTCTGCTCTGCCTCCTCCTTTTCCTCCTCCCCACAAGAGTGTGAAGGAAGGCTGTGGGGAAACAGGGCCAAAACCAGGGCCTCACAAGCTGCTGCGTGTAACCCCCAGCAAGCGCCGGAGGCAGGGAGCTGCGAGCCAGGCACCACCAAGAACACCACCACCGTCACCATGACAACCAGTCACCAGCCTCAGGACAGGTACAAGGGAGGAGACCTGCAGGCCTGGGAGGTCCAGGGGCTGGGTGGTATGTCCTTTGGAATCCCAAGGCCAGTGCCGACTGGCCTAGCAGCCAGGTGGCTATGAGTCAAGTCTGCATGGGGGGTGGGGTCCATGCATGCCTCTGCTGGGTGCTGGCTGCTAGCTGGGCTGTGTGTGAGGCTGGAGTGGGCGAGTGAATGGGACAGTAGTCCTTCCCCGGGTCATCGTCAATGTTTCCACGGCTGCTGTACAGCCAGCCAGCAGCGCGTGGCTTCTGCTGCCACCTCTGTGGGGAGAGAACAGACAACTCCCCTCATCACAGGGCACATCTGGTAGACCTGCCCCCTTGCTCCAAGGGCTCTGGCCCACCTCCACTCCTCCATCTGACCTTGCTCTCCTCTGTGCCTTTGGAGCCTGCCTCTGATGGAGGACATGCGTGGAGGAAAACGAGGCTGTGATTAAATCTGGTTCTCCTCGGGGACCAGGCCTGAGAAAGTGAACGGAGCCGTGGAACCGGGCCCGAGATCCTGAGCTCTCTTCCCTTTTCCACCTTGGGCTCCTGAATCCTGCCTGTCTCTCCTGCCTAAGGCTGCCAAGCTAGGCCACTGCCGCCTGGTGGATTGGGACTGGCAGGGGGTGGGTGGATCCTGCAGCACTTAGCTGGATCTCACAGCCCATTCTCCCACACCCTGGAGAATGAAGGTCACTTCACAGGGGTCTCTGGGAGGAGAGGGGTTTAAGGAGATGTGTAGGAAGTGTAGGCCCTAGTGGCTCCCACACTTTCTGGTTCCTCAGCCTAGCCTCCCCTCTCCTGCAGCCTGACTCTGAGCCCTCCCCGTCTCCATGTACCCAGATGCCCTAGGCCCTCATCTCCCGAGCTTCCATCCTGTGTGTTCTTGGCTGGGCATTCTCCCTTTCATTCTGGGCCTCTGAACCCAGCCTTTAGCTTCTTCCCAGGGTGCAGAGGAGGGAAATGGGGGCTGCTTGTTCCCTTGGTGGGTACTCCTCCAGGCCTCCCCTTGTAGCCCAGGCCACACACCTGTCTCCCCAATGACTTGGCCAAGCCTTGTCCCTGTCCCCTGCATGCAGAGAGCAGCCTTCAGCCTTCAGGAGGGTGTGGAAGACATCTGGACCTCACGGGGCCGGTGGGGGGTGGGGACAGGATCACTGAGCTGGCAGGCAAGCCTTCCCTGGAGCAGATGGCTACATGGGTAAGCTTTGCATGACTATAATGAAATCCCTGAGGCCGGCTGATGGTCTAAGGAAAGAGGTTTATTCTTGTCACAGTCCTGAAGGCTCACAGTACAAGATGGCATGGGTTCTTTCTGTCTGGTAATGATGGCTCTTGCTGGTCAGAGTCCCTATGTGACACAACAGAAGACAGGCAGTGTCTGTCTTTACAAAACTACCAAGATTTGAGGAAAGAGGTTGGATCATCATGTCCTAATCCAGTCTGATCACCCCCCAGAAGCCCTGCCACAAGGCGAGCCCTTGCACTTTCCGCGTACCATTAGCCCGTGACTCTGAGGACCAAACTGTGCAAGCCATAGCGGCAGCCTTTCTTCAGGCCCAGATGACGTCTGGTGGCCCCATACCTCCTGCCCTGCCTTAGGTGGTGTGACTAACAAAGCTGGTTCTGTCTGGCTGGAAAAAACAGCTCTAGCTCCTCCACACCCAGGCACTCCAGACTGCCCGCCTGTTCCACCCGGTCCAGAATGGTCTGGGAGTTTCTTGACCTCAGAGTGCTCTCCAGGGAACCACACGGTCCCTGCTCAGCCTGCCTGCTGGGGATGGAGGACACTTGCTGTTCCTTCCTGCTCCCTCTCGCTCTCCCCCACCCCAGGCCTTCTGCATGCAGCCCTCTCCGGATGTGTGTGTCACGCTGGTTCCCAGCCTGCAGGGTCCCCTGAGTCCTCCGGGACTGTAAACCATGTTCCTCTGTGTCCCTGGCCCCCTCTTGCTCCCCACATCCAGTGCCCTTTCCCCTACCCCAGTACACACACCATCCTGGAAGGACACGTGCCCTTGGATACAAACCCTGATGCCCTGTGCTCTGGGGACAGCCAGAGGGACTGAAGGGCAGTGAGGGAGGGAGGGGGATGGTCTCTGCCTCCCCACTTCCCTGGGTAGATCTCCCCCAGACCTCCCTTCCCTTCCCATTGCAGATACAAGGCTGTCTGGCTTATCTTCTTCATGCTGGGGCTGGGGACACTGCTCCCCTGGAATTTCTTCATGACGGCCACTCAGGTGAGGCTGGGAGGTAGGGGAGGAGCGCTGGGCTCCAGGGAGCACTTCCTCTGGGCACACACGGCCAGAGAAAGGCGTTTTCAGCACCCGTCTGTACAACTCCTGCAGTATTTCACAAACCGCCTGGACATGGCCCAGAACATGTCCTTGGGCACTGCCGAGCTGAGCGAGGACATCCAGCCCTCAGCTGCCCCCACAGTGCCGTCGCTGGAGCACAGGCCCCTCAGCGCCATCTTCAACAACGTCATGACCTTGTGCGCCATGCTGCCTCTGCTGCTCTTCACCTGCCTCAACTCCTTCCTGCATCAGAGGTGGGTACCCACCCCGCCCCCCGACTCCCTCCTACACCCATGGTTCCAGGCCAGCCCCACCATTCTCGGCTTCCCCTACCACCCTGGCAGGATCCCACAATCAGTACGGATCCTGGGTAGCCTGGTGGCCATCCTGATGGTGTTCCTGGTCACGGCTATCCTGGTGAAAGTGCACATGGATGCTCTGCCCTTCTTTGTCCTCACCATGATCAAGATCATGCTCATCAACTGTAAGCCAGGGCTGGGGTAGAGGGGCCCTTATGCTGAACCAGACCCACTGGAGTCAGAGCAGAGGCCCCTTCTGCCACCTGATGTGGGCACTGGGGACCAGGCCTGGGGTGGAGAATGGGGGACCTGAAACCTCCTGGCCCCAGCGCCCCCTGCTGACGTCTACCTTGTCTGCAGCGTTTGGCGCCATCCTGCAGGGCAGCATCTTTGGTGTGGCTGGCCTCCTGCCTGCCAGCTATACAGCCCCCATCATGAGTGGCCAGGGCCTGGCAGGCTTCTTCGCCTCGGTGGCCATGATCTGTGCCATTGCCAGTGAGTCCTGTCTACCTGCCGTTGCCCCCTGGGGGTGTGGGGGCAGAGGGAATGATGGTTCAGTCTCTGACCCCTGGCACCATCCACCCCAGCCGGCTCGGAGTTGTCAGAAAGTGCCTTCGGCTACTTTATCACGGCCTGTGTGGTTGTCGTTCTGACCATCATCTGTTACCTGGGCCTGCCCCGGCTGGTGAGCATGACGGGGGGAGGTGGTGAGCCTATGGGGGTGTGGAGGTGCTGGTGTCCAGGCTCCAGACCAAGGGAGGTCTGAGGCCAAACCTTGGGGGATCTGACCACACCACTTCCATCTCTGTTGTCGGATAGGAGTTCTACCGCTACTACCAGCAGCTCAAGCTCGAAGGGCCTGGGGAGCAAGAGACCAAACTGGACCTCATTAGTAAAGGTCTGTGTAGCTGGAGAAAATTTGCTGCGTTAGCTTGCAGCCAGGAGCCAGGGCAGACGGGGAGCAAACCAGGGTTGGGATAGAGAAGACAGGGTGCTGGACAAGCTTGAATGCCCGAGGCATGTGGACTAGAGGCAGTGAAGGAAGTTTTTAAGTGAAAGTATCTGGCAGCAACAGGGGTTGGGAGGTGGGGCTGAGCTAAGCATCAGGGACTGGGAGCTGGGGTGTCAGGCTGGAGTCAGGGACTGAGGAAAGGGGTGTATCTACCTTTGACCAAGCCCGTCGGGAAGCAGCCACGTCAAACCTGTAGCTCTGTCTTCCCCACAAACTGAAGCTCCTTCCACCATTGTTGCCCCGCAGGAGAGGAGTCAAAAGCAGGGAAGGAGGAGGCTGGAACTGCAGCCCCTAACTCTGAGGCCACAAACAAAAGCCCCTCCATCCGAGCCATCCTCAAGAACGTATGTTGGGGCGGGTGCCCTGCCCTCTGCCACCCCTTCCTCCCTTGCTGCCCTGAGACGGGTCCCTCTTTCCCAGCTTGTCTCCCGAGCAGTGGGATGGGGCAAGTCTTTGGTTCTTTACTGCATAGCCATCATGAAGGTGGGGGTACCTGGTGAACCCCTTGGCCCTCTCTGCAGATCTCGGTCCTGGCTCTGTCCATCTGCTTCATCTTCACTGTTACCATTGGGATGTTTCCTGCTGTGACCGCCGAGGTCAAGTCCAGCATCGCAGGCACCAGCGCCTGGGGTAAGGAGCAGAGAGGGCCTCAAGCAGGGTTGGGAGTGGGACAGAAGGGACCCTGGCCACCTTCCCCCTCACACCATACACCGGGTATACTCTGTTCTGTCCATTTTGCCCCTGTGCTGGTCCGGAAGCATCTTCTGCATTGGACAGTCAGGGAAGCTGGGGGTCCAGGAGGGTTGGCGTTGCTGTAACTGACTCATGACACACGGTTATCCCCTGTCGTCGCCTCTGGCAGGGAAGTATTTCATTCCTGTGTCCTGCTTCTTGATTTTCAACATCTTTGACTGGCTAGGCCGAAGCCTTACGGCTGTCTTCATGTGGGTAAGTTGGGGAGGGAGTGGGAGGATCAACTGGAAACTCGAAAGGGGAGTCCCAAGAAAGTGTGGTGGTAATGTTGGCAAGGGGGGCTTTTTTCATTGTGAGTCAAGGCTGTGTGGACAGCTGAGCGTGGGATTGTAAGTGTGCAGCTTTCAGTACTGTGTGTGTGTGTGTGACACACCTGGATCAGGATGTGACCCCACCTGCAGGGCTCCACAAAGCTCCATTGGGTGTCTCCCAGGATAGCCAGGCTGGGGGATGGGATAGGGGTGCTGAGGCTGCTCTCCACCACCCCCACTCTCCCTCCCTGTCCCGCAGCCCGGGAAGGACAGCCGCTGGCTTCCAAGCCTGGTACTGGCCCGGCTGGTATTCGTGCCGCTGCTGCTCTTGTGCAACGTGCAGCCCCGCCGCTACCTGGCCGTGGTGTTTGAACATGATGCCTGGTACATCCTCTTCATGGCCGCTTTCGCCTTCTCCAACGGCTACCTCGCCAGCCTCTGCATGTGCTTTGGGCCCAAGTGAGTGGCTACCTGCCAGGGAACCCGGTGCAGATGGGTGGAGCATGAGGTGGAGGGCGGGTGTTGTGTGCTAAGCTGGCCTCATCCTTGTCCTCCAGGAAAGTCAAGCCTGCAGAGGCAGAGACGGCAGGCGCCATCATGGCCTTCTTCCTGAGTCTGGGACTGGCGCTGGGAGCTGTCTTCTCCTTCCTGTTCCGGGCGATTGTGTGACCCCAGATGGACAGAAACGGAACTGCACAGCCTGCCCGCCTCCCGCCCCTTCTCTTGACCCAGCCAGGGCTGGGCGCCAGTGACCTGGAGGTTTTCTTTTTGAGCTCATTCTCCTGCTTGCTGTGCTGGACCCGGCTGCCTGGCAGCCTTGAAGCGGGGCAGCTTCCATGAGATGCACACTAGGAAATGCTGTGGGCTTTGGGGGGTCATGGGCAGGGATGGGCACAGTCTCTGCACCTGGATGAGCACCCCTACACTTAGCCATGAGCCATCCCTGCAGTAGGGCCTCCTGGGCTCCAAGCGGACGTGTATACGTGTGTTGTCTGCCTGTATGAAGGCGGGGAGCCCCTGGGGGCACAGGACTGACCGTTGTATGGTCTGGTCTGCTATTTCCTCTTCTTCCCTTCTCCCCGGGCATCCCCTGCCCAGCCTCCCACACTCCTTTCCTACCCACCACACCCCCTGTACAGTTGCTATTTTACTGCCTTTTTTATACTCAACAGAAGCCAGGTGCCTTCAGAGGCCCTCTGATTAAATAAACTGTTTTTGTTTGGTTTGGTTTTTCTCTATGGTTCCCTGTGTCCTCCAGCCTGGAGCTGGGAGGGAGGGGGAGGATGAGCCCGCTGCAGCCAGGAGGGCCGGCCCTGTGAGGAGGAAGCCCTCACGGCCTTTAGGGACTGCAGTGCCCCCTTCTGGGCCAACAGGGAGGGACGGGCCGAGGCCAGAACACCCTGGTTAGTCTGCCCAGACTGAGAAAGGCCAAGTTCTCGGCGGCTTCCATCTCTAATGGGATTGGGGACAGACAGCTCCATGCCTCTTCTTTGTCTCACCGTCACCCCCCCTCCCCGTTTGCCCTGTCCTGGGCCCCAGGAATGAACCAGGCAACCCTAGCCAGCTACTGGCTGCATGCCGACACCACTGGCAGGCAGGATGAGGCTGGCACCTTGCCGCAGTGCCAAAGCTTGGCCTGCCATACTTCCTGGGGAACAAGGGGCCTACGTGGCTGCACGTGTGAGAGTTGGCCCTGGGGAGGGCTGCGTTGGGACAGTATGAGCCCCTCAGGGAAGAGGTCCCCTCCCCACTCCACCCCTTCCCCAAAATGACTTCCTGGTTGGAAGTAGGAGCAGAGCTGTGGTCATGGTCCCCTTCCCCCACCCCCAGTCCTTCAGCACAGGTCTTGGAATCCCCCAGAATAGAATGAGTCAGCCCAGAGCCATGGGTCCCTTGGCAGCAGCTGGCAAGATCTCTGTTCTCCCAGAGGTGGACTTGTGGGCTGCAGGCTTCTCTGAGGGCACCTTTGTAAGGTCTTCTGATGGGCCTAGAGGCTCAGCTGGAGCAACTCAGCATGTATTGTATGAAAAAGGAAAGGCCAGCTTTTCCAATCCCGTGTGATGGCGAGAAGCCAGGTGGCAGGTTACTCTCCTCACAGGTTTGTCCACTTTGCCCTATGGGCTCTTCGCTGGAATTTTCTCTCCACCCTCAGCCCTTGCTGCTTACCCTGTGGCACCCAAAACCCCCTGGAGCATGTCTCCATTAGCGAGCACAGGTGCAGGATCTTCCTCTTCTGCCCCTCCTACTTCTGTAATGTAGAAAGTTGCTTCACACTCTTGATCTTTGCTCTAGCTGCCCCCCACCCCCGGCACTGTGAGATTAGGATCTATATTGCACTAATGGCAGCTCTGCCAGCTGTAAGAGCTGTCCCACAGCGGGGTGGTCCCTTCACTGCTTTCCAGTCTGTTGACCTCTCGGGGGTTTCACCTATAAATTGGGTGGGGGGAAACGAGATAAAATAGCAGTTCTCTGAATTTGTGATAAAAATAAATCTTGAAAACAAAAAAAGCGGTTCTGAAGTCTGCTGCTGTCAGACTACAGTGATGGCTGCCGGCCACGAGGGGGCGCTCTGCGGGCAAAGTCCCATTTTGGGGGGGCAGGGAAGTTCTCTCCTGGTCCCCAACACTCCGCCTAGCGCTCTACGCCTGTGCGGCTTCGGGCAACTGCCGGAGACCCGGGCTGCCCCTGCTTGGGGCAGGTCCTCACCTTCCCCTGGCGCACAAAGCGGGCTGTGTTCAGCTCCGCCCTCCCCGGGGCTTTGGCCTTGCAGAACCGTCCCTCTGGTGCAATGTTGGGGGGTGGGGTGAGTGCCCAAGGCAAGCCCGCTACGCTGGGAAATGGCGGACGAACAGAAGCCAGAAGTGGGCTCTGTGTAATCTTTGGTTGTGAATATGGACAGAGCTTAAGGAGCCGGGTGTGGGGCTGGAGGAGAAGGTGACCTGTTCTCAGAGTTACAGCTGCGAGGGCTCAAAATGGATGTGAGGAGAGAAATGCGGAGTCACTATGAAGGGCCGGCTTGAAACCCAAGTCCATGGCACCCCTCCCCCCGCCTAGGGCCGAGTGGCCGTCCCCGAGGGAGGTCAGCCAGCACACGGTCAGCAATGGCCCCTGTGCACTCCCGGCTCCTTCGGCCTGGGTGGGACGCGGCCCCCGTCGCCAGATTGCTGGGTGAGGGACAAAGGCGAGTTAGTGGAACCCACGCCCAGGGCTGAAGGCGGGCACCTGTTGGGATTCGGAGTCGAGGATCCCATCCCAAGCCTGTCGTGTGATGGCCCTGGCTCCACCTCCCTAAGCACCTTTGAAACAGAATGGCTGTTCACTGAAGAAGCAAAAAGGACCGCCCCCAGGGAAGGCGACTTTGGGACAAAGACCTGTGGCCGCCGCCATTCGGGAGAGCCCAGATGCCGAGGTCCCCAGCACGCGGGGCGGGGGGCGCAGCGGTCACTAGGTGTGTCTCCCACCCCCACCCCGCGAACGGCGTCTCCCCGCACCCCCTCCTGCCTCCAGAAGCAAGCCTGGTCAACTCCACCCCGGCCTTTTCCAGAGAGAACTGCCACTGGAGTCCACACCCTTGAACGGCCGTGAACCTGAGGCCGGGGTGGGCGATCCGGCTCTGGCTGGATGTGGGGGAGGCGCAGGGACCCCCTCAGGCGCCCGGTCCAGCTGGGAGGAGGTGGACATCATCCGCCCAGGGCGCCCCCTGGCGGCAGCGCCTCCCCACGTCCCTGGCACGTGGTGACCAAGGGCTGCCCTGGTGTCCAGGTGACCCTGAACCATGCACTAAACGCTTTCCTGCCCACCTGCCGGTTGTGACACTGCACTGGAACACTAAGTGGCAACACGGTCTTTTATAGATGATGGGCTCTTCAGTCAGCTTGTGAAGTGACAGCCATTGAACACTTAGAAAGGGATGCAAAGATTATGCAAATTACAAAGCTCCAGATAAATCCATCTCCCTCTCTACATGCCCTCCCCTCACCCCTCCTCTTCTGGACACTGAGTCCCCTCTTTCCATATTCTGTCAGATTCCAGATCTTCGTGTTATCCTGCCCAGGCCTCCTTGGTGTCTAACCTCAGCCCTTGCCGTGTGCCATTTCCTCTTTGCCCAGCTGCACCTGATCTGATTGGAGGTGAGCCAGCCTAAGGCTTCAACATCTACCTGGCAGAGACCTGCACCCTGAAGATGAGTGACTTGTACCTGGGCTGGGACAGGTGGCAAGTCAAACAGGTTGGTAAGGGCCCGGCATGGTGGCCTAGTGGCTAACATCCTCACCTTGAAAGCGCTGGGATCCCATATGGGCACCGGTTCTAATCCCAGCAGCCCCACTTCTCATCCAGCTCCCTGCTTGTGGCCTGGGAAAGCAGTCAAGGACGGTCCAGAGCTTTGGGACCCTGCACCTGTGTGGGAGACCTGGAGGAGGTTCCAGGTTCCCGGCTTTGGATCGGTGCAGCACCAGCTGTTGCGGTCACTTAGGGAGTAGATCATCGGACAGAAGATCTTCCTCTCTATCTCTCCTCCTTCCTGTATATCTGTATATAAATCTAAAAAAAAAAAAAACAGGTAGGTAGGGCAGGATTGTTTGTGGTGCCACCTGCTCCCACACCTTCCCCTGGGCTGAACCTGTGTAGGGTTCAGGTTTGCCTTTTTAGGCAAAAAAGGGCCTGGAATCCCAAAGAACTCTGCCCCAGACACAAAGGGATGCTTGAAACAGAAGGACAGACATTTGGGGCTGGACCAGCAGTGACAAAGAAAGACTGAGTCACGTCCTTGGTCTGTGATGCCATGCCTTGGCCAGCAAGACACGGTCATCTGTGTATTAATAGAGCAAGTTACTGACAACACCAGTCCACACTTGGGGACCAACTCTAGCCCTGTGTCTCCCTGGAGCCATGGTGATCCTGGCCTAGCCCATGGCTTCAGCCACTAGTCTAATGGTAGTTGGATCTACACAACTCCAGCCTGGCCTCCCACAAACCCCTCTGCCTGCTGGACACACTGCTCCTTCTTGGTGCCCCCACTCATGTCTAGAACAGAACATCCTCAGCCCCCCAGCCCCAGGCAGGCCTCTGTCCCACTCCTCCCCCAGCCCCATTCTATGAATCATCCTCTGAAAAAGGCTCCTCCTTCCCGTCTGCTCCTCCCAGACCTCCCTGCCTTTGGCCTCTCCCTTCTCCCAGCTACGGCCGGTGTAGCTGGCACCTGGGTGTGTTTGCTCTGAACAGCACAGTTAATGGGGCTTGATGTGATTTCACAGCTAGATACCACATGCTTTTGCTCAGGCACTCATGAAGTATTCTGTGATTCTTAACCACAACCTCAATTACAAATTGATTTTCGAGTGCAAAAGGGCCAGGCACACATACACCCATCATATGTCTACCACCTCCTGAACAGATAATATGAACAAAAAAGAACAAGTAGGGGTTGCTGTTATCACAGAACAGCCTGAGTCTGCCATGCTGGCATCCCATATCAGACTGCTTCCTCCGATCCAGCTCCTTTCTAATGTGCCTGGGAACGCAGCACAAGTGGCCAAGTACTTGGGCCCCTGCCCCCACATAGGAGATCCACATGGAGTGCCAAGATCTTGCTTTCAATCTGGCCTAACCTTGGCTTTTGAAATCATTTACTTTTTCTTCTTCTTCTTTTTTTTTAATTTATTTATTAGAAAGGCTGATTTACAGGGAAGGAAAGATAGAAGAAACACCTCCCATCTGCTAGTTTACTCCCTAAGTGGCCACAATGGCCAGAGCTGAGCTGATCCTAAGCCAGGAGCTTGTTCCAGGTCTCCCATGCAGGTAAAGGGTGCCAAGGCTTTGGGCCCTCCTCAACTGTTTTCCCAGGCCACAAGGAAGGAGCTGAATGGGAAGTGGAGCAGCTGGGATGCCAACTGGCATCCATATGGGATCCCGGCATATGCAAGGCAAAGATTTAGCCACTGAGCTATTGCACCAGGTTCTGAAGCCATTTAGAATGAATCAGGAGGTGGAAGATCTCTTTTTCTGTCTCTCCCTATCACTTGGTCTTTCAAACAAATAAACAATTTTTAAATTTTTATTTTATTTTTGATGTTGTTACATAGTTGACAAGGATGCAGACCCATGAGAACTACTAAATAGGGTGGGGAGGGTTGAGATATAGGGAAAGGTGAGTGGGATAAATGCTTCCAGTTTTTCTTTTCTTCCCTCTTCTCCTGTATCTGGGAGAATGGGGAAGTGAGAGAGG